AAGATGGCTGCCTGTCGGCCATGTTGTTTATCCGATCAGTCTCAAAAGTTGCCCTGTGCAGCTAGGGACCAAGGGGAACCTACATATAAAATTTTGAGAAAGATCCCAATGGTACTTCTTGAGAAATAGCGATAACAAACTTTCACTATCAAAATCCAAGATGGCTGCCTGTCGGCCATGTTGTTTATCCGATCAGTCTCAAAAGTTGCCCTGCGCAGCTTAGGACCAAGGGGAACCTACGCATAAAATTTGAGAAAGATCCCAATGGTACTTCTTGAGAAATAGCGATAACAAACTTTCACTATCAAAATCCAAGATGGCTGCCTGTCGGCCATGTTGTTTATCCAATCAGTCTCAAAAGTTGCCCTGCACAGCTAAGGACCAAGGGTAACCTACAAATAAAATTTGAGAAAGATCCCTCTGGTTCTTCTTGAGAAATACAGATAACAAGAATTGTTTAAGGACGGACGACGGACGGACGACGGACCATGGACGCAGGGTGATTTGAATAGCCCACCATCAGATGATGGTGGGCTAAAACGTGTAGCATGTCTAATTTTAGATGTTCCATTTGAAACTCCTTCAAAAGAAATGTTTTCTGTGTTGAAATGGATGCCTATAAAAATGTATATAATTATAGGAAGTCTGTAATGACCTTCAAATGTGTACATGGACTTGCTCCTGAATATTTATGTTCTTGTTTTAAACATGTAAACAGTGTCCACTCCAGAGCTACACGACGGGCTGAACAGAATATGTTGTACATTCCTAATTTTAGGACATGTTCTATTCTAGTCACTTTGTTTTATCAAGTTGTAAGACTTGGAATGCACTTCCAATTGATGTAAGGTCATCACCATCTTTTAACACTTTTAAGCATAGAGCTATAAAGCACTACTGTGATTCATACTTTTAGATAAAGAAAACAGTTTTTAATTTATGCTATATTAGCCTTTGGACCAGGTGAGCTATAAATGATGATCTTTCTTTCCATGCACTGAAATTGAATGTAGTACCTCTGAGTCAGGAGAAGAAGATTTTTGAAATATTGGTTAAATTTCCCTTTGGGGCTCCGCCCTGGCCCCAGGGATTGGGGTAGGAATCCCAATTTAACAATTTTGTAGCCTCATCTACCAAGGATGATTCTGACCAAGTTTGAAAAAAATCCATCCACCGGTTCTTTAGAAGAAGTTGAAAATGTAAAGGTTTACACATGACGCACGACGACCGACGACGGACGGAAAACGATTAGAATAGGTCACTTGAGCAAAGCTCAGGTTACCTAAAAAGATACAATCATTATTAAATAAGCCTTCGTTCCCTGTTCACACATGCCCTCAATCATATACTACTCAATTCTACTTCAAGGCCCTCCCAATCCAGCTGATCGTCAGTCAACTATTATAACTGTGTCATTAGGCCTAAACACCAGGAAATGGATAATTACCTGAATGACACAACTGATTCAGAGGGTCATCTTCAGAATCTGATGCAAGCGACAGCGATCGTGAATCTGAAAATGAATTAATATAAATTACATGTATGTACATGATAACATTTAAATGATATGATCTCGATTAAATGTTTTGACATTTTTAAGCATGTAAAGTAAATGAGAAAGTCTCCACAAAAACAAAACTTTTTATGTTTTCAAAAAAAAAAGAGAGGCCCAATTGCCCTGTATCACTCATCTTGTATTAATCTCTCACCGCATACCTAAACAAGAGGCCCAGAGCTCACCTGAATATTTAAGCAGTCATAGCAAAATATTCTCATTAAATACTATATTGCACTACAAATATTTCCCTCGCAAACTTTGTCGGCTCCATCTGTTGAAACTACCAACCAAATATTATTATAAGATTCTATGCTTATTGGTCCTTCTTCAGAAGTTAATTGACATATTTTTCCCTGTGACCTCGTAAGTAGGTCAATGTCATTTTCCTTCTCATACTTTGTTAGCTCTATCCCAAAAAGCTACCAGCTTTTGAATTTGTTCTTATGAATCCATTCCATTCCATTCCATTTGGTTCTTGAGAACAAATCCTTTAAAATGCTGTTGATCTCTGTCCTTTAAGGTAGGTTGAGGTCATTTTCATTCGCAAACTTTGGTGAGCTCTACCCCAGGAAGCCACCAGCCAAATATTATAATTTTATGCTTTCGATTATTTAGAAGAAACCGTTTGATGTTTTTGACATATTTGACACCTGTAACCTTGAAAGAAGGTCAAGGTCATTTTCATTTTCAAACTTTGTTGGGCTCCATCCCAGGAAGCCATCAGCCAAATATGAAGATTCTATCCCTTTTAGTTCTTCAGAAGAAGTTGTTTAAAGAGTTTTTACATTTTTGACCGCTGTGACCTTGAAAGTAAGTCAAGGTCATTTTCATTCTCAAACTTTGTCGGGATCTATCTCAGAAAGCCAACAGCCAAATATAAAGATTCTATACCTTTGAGTTCTTCAGAAGAAGTTGTTTAAAGAGTTTTTACATATTTGACCGCTGTAACCTTGAAGGTAAGTCAAGGTCAATTCCATTCTCAAACTTTATCGGCTCCATCCAAGGAAGCCATCAGCCAAATATGAAGATTCTATCCCTTTTAGTTCTTCAGAAGAAGTCGTTTGAAGAGTTTGATACATTTGACCCCTAGGCCTGTGACCTTGAAAGTAGGTCAAGGTAATTTTCATTCTCAAACTTTGTCCGGCTCCTGCCAACGAAGCTATCACCCATATATCATGACTCTAGGCCTGTCCATTCTTCAGAAGAAGTCGTTAAAAGGAAAAGTTGACGGACGCCGACAGACGCCAGACGGACGGACGACGCGCCATTTCATAAGCTCACGAGCCCTTAGGGCAGGTGAGCTTACAATGGACTAATTATGTCAACCATTTGAATGGACTGAACTAAGCCAAAGGCCAAATACCATTACCTATGACTCTTAGTTAATATTCAAAACCTGTTAAAAAGTTTAAACATATTTGACCTGTAACTTTGAAAGTCGGTCAGCGTTAACCATTTGAACAAGCTTGGCAACCTTATCTGACATTAAGGTTTCCGAGACGACCTGACTGATATTAAGGTTTCCGAGACGACCTGACTGACATGGTGGTTTCTCAGACGACCTGTCTTGAATGATGGTTTCTAAGACAACCTAACTGACATTATGGTTTCCAAGACAACCTAACTGACATGGTGGTTTCGAAGACAACCTAACTGACATTATGGTTTCCAAGAAAACCTAACTGACATGGTGGTTTCAAAAACAACCTGACTGACGTGGAGGTTTCCAAGACAACCTGTCTGACATGGTGGTTTCCAAGACAACCTAACTGACATTATGGTTTCCTAGACAACCTGTCTTACATGAGGGTTTCCAAGACACCCTGTCTTACATGAGGGTTTCCAAGACAACCTGTCTTACATGAGGGTTTCCAAGACAACCTGTCAGACATGGTGGTTTCGAAGACAACCTAACTGACATTATGGTTTCCAAGACATCCTTACTGACGTGGAGGTTTCCAAGACAACCTGACTGACATGGTGGTTTCCAAGACAACCTGTCTTACATGAGGGTTTCCAAGACAACCTGTCTTACATGAGGGTTTCAAAGACAACCTGTCAGACATGGTGGTTTCCAAGACAACCTAACTGACATTATGGTTTCCTAGACAACCTGTCTTACATGAGGGTTTCCAAGACAACCTGTCTTACATGAGGGTTTCAAAAACAACCTGACTGACATGATGGTTTCTAATACAACTTGACTGACATGATGGTTTCTAAGACAACCTGACTGACATTATGGTTTCCAAGACAACCTAACTGACATGGTGGTTTCCAAGACAACCTAACTGACATTATGGTTTCCTAGACAACCTGTCTTACATGAGGGTTTCCAAGACAACCTGTCTTACATGAGGGTTTCCAAGACACCCTGTCAGACATGGTGGTTTCCAAGACAACCTAACTGACATTATGGTTTCCAAGACATCCTTACTGACGTGGAGGTTTCCAAGACAACCTGACTGACATGGTGGTTTCCAAGACAACCTGTCTTACATGAGGGTTTCAAAGATAACCTGACTGACATTATGGTTTCCAAGACAACCTGGTTGACATGGTGGTTTCCAAAACAACCTGACTGACATGGTTTCCAAAACAACCTGACTGACATGATGGTTTCTAAGACGACCTGACTGACATGGGGGTTTCCAAGACAACCTGACTGACATGGGGGTTTCCAAGACAACCTCCCTGACATGGTGGTTTCCAAGACAAGAGGCCCATAGGGCCTGTATTGCTCACCTGGATATCTAAGCAATCATGGCAAAATATTCTCCAAATGAGATCCATGGGAATATGCCAGAGCCCAATGCCAATTCTTGTAGTATGTCTGGATTAGATTTTTCATGCCCAGCAATTTAATGTATGGTTATGGGGTGGGGATCTTAACTGTTTCCAAGCTGTGACTCAGAAACTAGGTCCCTAGGGATTCGGTCAGACCCCAGGGTTTATTCTAATACCATGACTACTTTTGTCTCTTTATGCCAAGCATTTGTATATATAGTTCTGGGGTGGGGATCTCAACAGTTTCAAAGTTATGACCCAGGGACTATGTCTCAAAGGGTGGGGCCAGACCATGGGCCTTCCTGGAAGCAAATGTGCATGCATGGGGGGTTGTCAGCCCCACCATTTGTACAATTTTGAATCTCCACTACCAAGGAATGCTTCCAGTCACACATGGTTGATAAATCAATATAGCCCAATTGCCCCCGCCCCTCAGGTCCCCAGGGGGCCAGACCCACGGTTTATACAAAGTTGGTTCCCCTTCACCCAAGGATGCTTCAGACCAAATATGGAACAAATCCTTTCATTCCTACAGAATAAGAAGGATTTAAAAGAATTTGCTATATTTCCCCTATTGGGCCCCGCCCCTCAGGCCCCTCAGGGGCCAGATCCCCGATTTATACAAAATTGGTTCCCCTTCCCCCAAGGATGCTTTAGACCAAATATGGAACAAATCCTTTCATTCCTACAGAAGAAGAATTTACTATGTGTTCCCTATTGGGCCCCACCCCTCACGCCCCTTGGGGGCCACACCCACGGTTTATACAAAATTGCTTCCCCTTCCCCCAAGGATGCTTCAGAGCAAATATGGAACAAATCCTTTCATTCCTTACAGAAGAAGAAGGATTTTAAAGAATTTGCTATGTTTCCCCATTGGGCCCCACCGCTCAGGCCCCTCAGGGGCCAGATCCCCGATTTATACAAAATGAGTTCCCCTTCCCCCAAGGATGCTTTAGACCAAATATGGAACAAATCCTTTCATTCCTACAGAAGAAGAAGTATTTTATAGAATTTGCTATGTTTCCCCTATTGGGCCCCGCCGCTCAGGCCCCTATGGGGCCAGACCCACGGTTTATACAAAATTTGTTCCCCTTCACCCAAGGATGCTTCAGACTAAATATGGAAAAAATCCTTTCATTACTACAAAAAGAAGAAGGATTTTAAAGAATTTACTATGTGTTCCCTATTGGGCCCCGCCCCTAAGGCCCCTTGGGGGCCAGACCCACGCTTTATACAACAAGAGGCCCAATGGGCCTGCATCGCTCACCTGTTATTAATCTAACACTTGTAATCTTAAAAATTCATAAGAACCTATTAAAAGATTTAAACATATGACGCCTCTGACCTTGATTGTCGAACAAGGACATTAGGTTGAAAGTGGATCAAGGTCATTCATTTGAACTAACATGGTAGTCCTTCATACCAGCATGCTACATGCCAAATTTCAGTACCCTGGCCCTTTTGCTTATTGAAAAGAAGTCGCTTGAAGATTTAACGACATTTGACCCCTGTGACCTTGAAAGTTCGTCAAGGTCATTTAGTTGAACAAACTTGATAGTCCTTCATCCCAGCATGCTACAGGCCCAATATCAGTACCCTGGGCCTGTTGGTTATTGAGAAGAAGTTGTATGAAGATTTTATGACATTTGACCCCTGTGACCTTGAAAGTTCGTCAAGGTCATTTAGTTGAACAAACTTGATAGTCCTTCATCCCAGCATGCTACAGGCCCAATATCAGTACCTTGGGCCTTTTGGTTATTGAGAAGAAGTTGTATGAAGATTTTATGACATTTGACCCATCTGACCTTGAAAGTAGGTCAAGGTCATTCATTTGAATAAACCTGATAGTCCTTCACCCCAGCATGCTACAGGCCCAATATCAGTACCCTGGGCCTTTTGGTTATTGAGAAGAAGTTGTATGAAGATTTTATGACATTTGACCCATCTGACCTTGAAAGTTGGTCAAGGTCATTCATTTGAATAAACCTGATAGTCTTTCACCCCAACATGCTACAGGCCCAATATCAGTACCCTGGGCCTTTTGGTTGTTGAGAAGAATTTGTTTGAAGATTTTACGACATTTGACCCCTGTGACCTTGAAAATTGGTCAAGGTCATTCATTTTAACAAACTTGGTAGCCCTT